GGGCGCTAATACTTTTACCCAATAGCGGTATCGGGGTCAATTTTCCACAGGGAACTTCAATTTGGAGTTGCGTGTTTGTATAGTCTAGGACTATGTTTTAGCTCCTAATTGATCTTCTAACATTTTTGGTTTTCTTTTGATTAATAGCTACAATTTATCAACTACAATTGTAAAACTAAGTTATGCTAAAATTATGATTCTAAGTTGTATGCAATATAGAGAAAGGCACTAGGGTCGTGGCATGTACCTAGGTGGTCAACTAACGGGTAGAGATTCCTAATGCAAGAATGATGACTATGGGACTTATGCTATAACCATTGCACTTTTGCACTCACTCTCACACCTCTCGGTAGAGAGAGTGATTTTGCCCAATTGACTCTCTCGAGACCAATTGGGTAGGCCAATTTGCCCAAGCAACTTATGGTTCAAGTTGGGTAATTACTCTCTCGAGGTTTAACCCGTTAATTGGGACTACCATTCTCATGGGTCCATCCCAATTCCTTGTTAGAATTAATCTTGGGGTCATAGACTCTCTTTCTCAAGAAGAGTCAAGACTCACTAAGCTAGACTTAGTGTTTGCAACCACCAAATCTTAATGAAAACATAAGATTAATTCAAATAACAAATACCCAACATCATTCATGCACTAAACAATCACACCCATTAATTACCCACACTAGGGTTGAGCCACAACCCTAGCTAATGGGTTTAGCTAGCCATAATAGGAACAGAAATTGAAGAAATAATAGATGAAATTGACATAACAATTAACTACAATGTTAATCTACTCAAATCCACGTTAATACTAGAAGAAATTGCCCAAAATAGGCTAAAATCATGAAATCCCAAGTTCAGCTGCTCTATGCTCTCAAAACAGATCTGGAAAAAAAACTGCTAAAAAGTAAAATGTTCTATTTATACTACACAGAAAAAACAGGACAAAAATACCCCTGAGGGTCTGGCGCGGACCGCGCACAAATGACGCGCGGCCGCGTAGGGTTTTGGGCCTTCATATCTTGCTTCTGGCACTGGGGGCGCGGACCGCACAAAAGTGACGCGCGGCCGCGTGAACTTCTTCCACGCGGACATCACTGATTAGGTGCGCGGCCGCGTGGGCTTTTGCCTTTAATGATTGAGTCTCTGATACTCTTAGGCGCGGACCGTGCAGCTTGACTTGAAGATATCATGGCCTCTGAACTTTCCTGTGCAGCCGCGTGGCAGAACAGTGCGGACCGCGCAGGTTGAACTTGAAGATGTCTAGCTTCTGAACTCTCCTGCGCGGCCGCGTGACAAAACAGTGCGGACCGCGCAGGTCCTTTTGATCCCCCCTTTCAGTTGTCTTTTGACACTTGGCAGATTTCACTCCTTTTTGAGCCGATCTTTAGTATTTGTCATCTTGTCGCTCAAACCTGCAATCAAGCGCAACTTGTAAGCATTTTGGGACTAATTTCTGGCAGTTAATGCACAAAGCTTAGGTAAGAATGGGTATAAAACATGTAGAAATCACAGTTATCAGTCAATAAACACCATGTGATCCCTGTATTGTTCCACCAACCTCCTAATAAGGTGGATAGCTTCCGTAGTAGAGCGGTCCAGCCTGAACCCGAACTGGTTTTCAGAAATATACACCGCCCTTCTTACCCTCCCTTCCATCACCCTCTACCAAACTTTCATGGTATGACTTAGTAACTTGATGCCCCTATAGTTGTTACAATTCTGGATTTCACCTTTGTTCTAATCATCGTACTACATCTCCACCCATCTGACATCCTCTTCGTCCTGAAAATAACATTAAACACCCCAGTTAGTCACTCCAAGCCTGCTCTACCCACATACCTCTAAAATTCTATAGGAATCTCGTCTAGTTCGGTCGCTTTGCCCCGACTCATTTTACACATAGCTCCCACGACCTCTTCAACCTTAATACGCCTACAGTACCTAAAGTTTCGGTGACTCTCGAAGTGCCAACTCCCCTAGCACGATGTTACTATCTCCTCTTCATTTAGAAGTTTATGAAAGTACATCTCCCATCTATACTTAATCTGGAACTCTTCCATCAATACTCTACCTTCCTCGTCTTTGATGCACCTCACTTGATCCAGATTACGAGCCTTCCTCTCTCTCGCTTTGGCCAGCCGAAATAACGTTTTGTCCCCACATTTGCCCCCAGTTCTTCATACAACCGACCAAATGCAGCAGTCTTAGCCTCTATGACCGTCAATTTCGCCTCCTTCCTAGCTTTCTTATACAATACTTAAAAATATTATTGATAAATTTAAATAATTTAAAAACATCGAGCAATATTTTCAAATTTTAATAAATATTTATTTAATGATTAAAAGATTAAATATCTACCTATATAATATTAAAGAATAGTAGTGAATAATAATATTAAATAAAGTGAAAAGTTAATGAAAATCCACATGAAAATGTGACAAACTATACACTAGATATCATAATAGAAAAATTAAGAAAAATATTTAAAAATTAATATTAGAAACTGTGGGAAAATACTATTTGAACTTGAGATTAGAGAATTCTTAAAATTACAATGAGAACGTTCAAACTATAAATAGGACCACAAAATTGAAGTCTTACTAAAACACAAAATAAATGTCTAATGTAGGTAATTTTATTAACAAAAATTAAAAGTCAATTTTGTATCTTAAAACTAAAAGAGAAAAAATATTTAGTTCCATATAATAATAAAAAATTATAAAATATCAATAGAGTTGGAATATAATAATCCAAAAAAATTATGTATTAATATTTTAGATTAATTCAAGTTACAATTTGCAATAAAATGTGATATTATTTTGATTATAGATAAAATATTAATATAAAAAACTAATTAAAAATTTATAGTAGGAAAGAGAATGTACTGAGAGGAAAATAGTGATAGTATAAAGATACTTATACTTTTAATTAATTTAAATATAAATAAATTAAATAATTAATTAATACTTAAGAATATTATTGATAGCTATAAATGATAAGAGAATTCAGAGTAAGATGATAAAATTACAAAAAAATATTAAATCCAAGAACAATTTTTTTTATATTTATCGAGGATTACTCCGTTCTGTGTGTATGCTAGTCGGTCAGTGTCATGTTTTAGTATGCTAATGGTACTTGTCGTACTATCTTCCTAGGACCTTGTCACCTTATTGATTATTGATATTGCTTTTGCAGATATATTTTATGATTCTTAGCTCGCTGGTACTATCTTTCTAGTTATGTTATTGTTAATATTCTATTGTCACATTTCATCTTCTTGTGCCGATGGTCTATCAGAAATAGTCTCTCTACCCCCAGGACAGGGGTAAGTTTTGCGTTCACGCTACCCTCCTCAAACCCCACTTGTGGGAATATACTGGGTTGTTGTTGTTATTATTGTTGTTGTTGTTGTTATTGTCATAAACAAGGCATTAAGTCAATTGATAAGCTAATAAAAGATCACATGATTGTATAATAATATTAAGTAATGAATAGTAACTATAAGCAAATAACAAATAAAGAATTGGGTAATAATATGAAGAATAAGACTTATTTGAAGAATTTTGATAGTAAAATTTTTATTAAAATAATATGATTTAATGTGCACAAACATGACAAATCACAATATGACATATTTAATATTCTTTAATATTGACAGTGAAACGAAATGCAAGTACTAAAATTAAGGGGTTGGGTTAAAATAAGGTATACACTATTTTGATTTGAGAAATAATTTCATGTCCTGCTTCTTAAGTAATATCCAATAATTACATATAATTTTTATTTGAAAGGTTCATATTTTAATGTTATTTTAAATAACCCAAATTATAATTTTACATAATTTGTGTCCGTAAATCGTACGGATACTAATACTAGTTGAAATTTAAAAGCAGATGTACCCAAATATTGGAAAAGTGATCCATAAAATGTTTTTCTCAGGCAGAAAACATTTTCCCCACATCGAAATTGTCTAATTTACAAGTTTCTTCAACTGAATACCTTGACTACTTGTATATTTATAGTATATTAGCTATTCTATGAGTATGAAAAGTTATCGTTTTAAAGCGCAATGTAGATATGCAATATCTCTAAAATTGGTAAAATAAAATAAATGAAAGTAAATTGAAAGGAGAAAGATAAGCAAATTCTGGGATATATAAAAGGTAACCGTAAAATTATGTGATCTAATAAACATGACATTCTTTGGGAGTGTGAAATGTGCCCAATCCACACTAATTGTTCGCATCAAACCAAACAAATTAACTTTAAGAATCACCAATTAAAGTGAGAATATATATTACTTAATCATGGTTCAACGGAAAAGCTGCTCCGCGGAGGATGACCTATGATTAAAATGTATATGCAAGACGCTTACAACAACAACATACTCAGTATTATTTCATACCGTGGTATCTAGCTACGCAAGACGCTTGTATTGCATTTATTGAACTGATGAATACCTGTGCCGGAGAAGGATGATGACGCCTAAAAATAAAAATATGTAGTACATCATTTTTGCATTTACCAAATTGCTGCCCTTTAGACAAAATAATCACTATTCATTATCATCATATTCATTAAGTTACAAACCCAGAGCCTATAGAAAGATCCGAATATACAAAATAGCAAAACACCAATGCGCTTGTTCAGTCTCATATTATCATTTTCGCTATTCTCTCCCCCTAAGTCGATGAGAATTCAGGTGTATACAGCAACATCAAACTCAGACTGAAGAAATGCAAGTCGTGAGCAGGTAAGAGAAACTGTAATAACCTGAAATATTTTTTTATATACATATTAATTATGGGATTGGAATTAACTTTATTTATAGCTATTGAGTCAGATACTAAGATAGTAAAATAGTGTATCAAATAAGTGATTAGTGGGCTAGTTACATATTAGTACAATTAAGAATTAGAAGTAAGTAACTTTAATTTAATAGTATTTAAAAGGTATACATGTGGGCCAAGCCTACCCTTTTAACACCCTCACGAGAGATTTTCCTAGCAGACATTAGGTATACTAGGGCTTATAGCTGTTAACAAGGAAATTTCAACAGAAGGAAAGGATTTTCTTTCTGGAATTCGCTGGCTGCGTTGGAAGCTAGCAGCATGAGTTTTAGAGCTCCAGGTAATGAGATTACTTTGGTTCAGTAGCCTATACTTTGAATATGTATTATTGTGATATTTTTAGTAAGATTTATCGTGGCATTAACGACCTAATGATTGATAATGCTTAGTAGTCATAATGAAAAGACAATTACTATTTGAATTATAAATTGGTCAATGGATGCAATCTTTCGTAGAAGGAATTTGGATAATCTGGTAGTATATCTACTCCCATCCGATACAGTGGTGTATTTGCATATGGAAAATTATAGTCATCATTAACCCATATTAAAGATTAAGCAATTAAAGGATAGGTTTGATTGTGAATTTTTTTTTAGAAGAATTACGACTGATACTACACAATTTTGACCCTTTTCCTAGGAGTCATAATGATTAGCTTGAGTGATTTGATAATGATAATGAAATATAATATTAGATTATGTATATAGTAGTTGCTGATTTTAACATGAGCCAACAGTTATGTTTTCGAGAGGTTTTGGACACTGTTGGATTTATACGCCACTGTGTTGTTTCCGATTTATACTCTATGATTATTATTTCGGGACATGAATATTAGCATACTGGATATGCACATGAAATATTGAAATATATTTTTACCTTTAAAAATATATATGGTATTTGATAGGTGGAATATTAAAATTCAACTCTAAGCTTGAAAATTAAGGATATTGAGATTTGACTCGATTAGCACAATTAACCTTGTTAATTAATATTTTGCATATATTGAGGCCATTGAGATTGTTTGATTGGCGTTCTAGACTTTGCAAGGTTGATGAACTTGTCGTTAGCGAGGTAAGTGAGACTTTAAGCTTTGATACTTGCCTTTCTAAAACCCGTTCTGAAAGTGTATTTTTTCTGCCTGGTCCATGTGTTGGGACAAGCGTGCGCTTGACAGAGTCGGTGGTCTTAGACTAGCCGCAAATATATTATTTATGAAAAAAATATTATTTTATAAGTTGTTTGATAGTGTGATATGGTTGCCAGCCATGGTGTTGAGTTTGATACGGCTGTGCGCCATGATATTGAGTTTGATACGGCTGCGCGCCATGGTGTTGAGTTTGATACGGCTGTGCGCCATGATGTTGAGTTTGATACGGCTGTGCGCCATGATGTCGAGTTTGATACGGCTGTGCGCCATGATGTTGGGGCATTGTGTATGCCTTTGTACATCATCCGAGCATTGTGTATGCTCTGTTACATATTTGAGGCATTGTGGTGTCGTTGTGGACTTGTAGGTGTGTTGGTAAATTTCTTTCACTATAATTATGATAAGTCCTTAGTAGGTATTTTGTTGGTTAATTCTTAATAACTTGTTGATACACATATATTGAGTTATTGTATAATTATCATATTTACTATATCATTCGTGTTATGATGTGTTTGTATTTTCTAACACTTGTTCCAGAGCTATTTAAAGTGGAGGGTCGAGGATCTTACTGGGTTATATTTGCGTATAACGCATTCCTTACCAGCATCTTTATGCAGATACCGTTGCGGGAGATAGAGTTAGTAGCTGACGAGTTTGTTCGAGCTGACCCTATTGTTGAGGTGAGCCACCGCATGGTTCGTGGAGGCTTTCGTTTCAGACTTACCTAGCTCTCGTGTTAGTTATTTCCTTTTTCTTTGGGGTTTGCATGCCCGTCAATAAACTCATGTTACTCTGTTAGATGCTCCATGGTCTTACTGTGGGATTTGGGCTAGAGTTTTATTATTTGACTGATTGTTAGTTTTTCTATCAATTGACTAAGGTATTGGGCGATAATCATTTCCTCTTTAATTATTAATAATACTATTAGGCTTGCATCTTTCTCTCTCAGTGTTTGTGTAAATGGTTAAACGTTAGAGAAAGGGGTTCGCCTGGTAGGTGGTATTAGCTGGGTGCCAGTCACGTCTAGGGGGTAGTTCGGGACGTGACAAAGTTGGTATCAGAGCGTAGGCTTTAAATCCCGGGTCATGGAGCAGTGTTTAGCAGAGTCTTATTCATGGGTATGTAGGCGCACATACTTATGACCTTGAGGCAACTAAGCATTTATGATGTTTTCCCTTGTTTCATTCTCTCTTCGTGCGTTGAACCGTATCAAGTGGAACCTTGAAATGTCCCTTTCACATAAAGTTAGGATACGTGTATCCTCGTTTGCCCGATGATGCAATTTATTTAGAGGTATTTGAATAAATTAAGTGGTGCTAAAAGTGGCTTTGAGTACGTGTGATGTTGTGTGCATTAGCTGTAATCGCGAATGCTGCTTCAACATTATTTTCTTCAAATCCCTGAAGTGAGGGACTATCCTAATGGCAGTATGATTGGCGACATTGTAGTCTTCACGAGCTTCTAATATATATGAAGCATTACTTTACCACATTTGTTTTCGGGTCAAGAATTTTACCCACATCCACCTTCTTTACAGCATTAGTTTCATCTTCACCACTTATTGGCATTATGTAGTGGCAAAGCCTAATGATAGAGATAAAGTGAATGAAAAGAATCAGGAAGTGGCATCCTGAATTTTACATCTGAAAAAAAAATCTGATAAATATTTTAAGAGGTGGGCAACATGTAGTGGAGCTTTTGAAAGTAACTACCTTTCAGAGATGTGTCTAAAGGCCTATCAATATATTAGACAGGTCATACATTCTAGGGTAGCTTTAATTACATATGAAACTCTACTAAAATTCTTAATAAGTTTGAGAGTTAATCAAATTTTGAATATTGGGAAGTTGTGTGAACTGTAAAATGGTTTTAAAATATGGGTTTTCCTTAGAGTGACTTATCAATATTCGACGTTATGGGTATAACTTTTCGTTATTAGTTTAATGAGGAGAGAAAAAGTTTAGTGAGAAATAAGTAAGTGTTATAATTTAACCACGTTTAGGTTGTTAGATTTTGGCAATGACAGACATTTTTGAGGAAGTAGCTTATATAGTTCTTAACTTAATGCATCTTGAAGTCATTAGTGTTAGTGATATGATGATGGTGATATTATAGTGTAACTATGGCGTAAGTAGGCCCATTGAGTGCAATGAATATGAGCATGATAGGGGCACTACATGATGCATACATGTTCATAGTGAAAGTCCGTGGATTAATTCCAATCGTTGGGAGAGGATGAGACCAAGGTATGCAAGGGTTGAGTATGAAACTTAGCCACAATGGCATGATTAGATGTTAAAGTAAGGTAGAACATGAAGTAATAAAATTGCCATGCACCATGAGAAAAATAGATTAACCATAAAAAGAGTTTGAGTACCTAAAAAGAAATTCTTTTACACGCACAACCTTTTATTTGTGATGCAAGTCCTTCCACATTAATAACTGAAGGGATCTTTGATAGGTTATGCTTCGCGTGTATATTTTAATAAAGAAATGCAGTCGTTATATTTATGATCAAATTTGGTGCCTTAAATATGTGCAAAGTTAAGTAGATAGGAAATAAAAAGGAGGGTGGGAGATAACTGCATTGTCTCCCTAAGTTTCCGAAAAAGAAAAAAAAAATTGAAGGGAAATGTTCGACGGGGAGAGTTAGATATTTCGAGAACATATTCTAAGATATATTATGGCTAGCATGAACTTTTTGGCGATATCTTTTAGATAACCGAAGGTATTAATAATCGCTGTGGACTAAATAAATCTGAGTATTCAAATTGTTCCCAACCCTTTTAGTTAATATGTTTATTAATAACATATGGAAATATTTTCATGACTGATAGAAACATATGCGGCAACATCGTGATAATATCGATCGAATACAGAGGTTATAAGTATGAATTCTTATATTGTGATATTTTAGGCCTCAAGATGTTTACTAAAAGGGTGATAGATCGATGGTATTAAGCCTACTAAGGATAGAGTACATGTAACATCATAATTGTCTTTGTTTGAGCGAGCAAAGTTCATCGGTCTAAGAGTCCTGACCTTATTGTCGGGTTAGGCGTCAACTCTTAGAGGCGAGACCTACTTGAGAGTTAATAATTATAGAGCATTATAGCTAAAGGGGTTAAGTGTGTATACAATCGTGGGGATAGATTTGAGGAGGATTGTACTCCAAGAGATGTAATATTTATAAATTTAGTAATTTCAAGATCTATAAATGTGGCTTGGCATCAGAGAATGAGAGCTAATAACGATAGAGGGTGATACGAGATTTTAAAAATTATTGTTCTCTAGTTTTTGAACGGTACATATATTAAATACGAGTGTTAGAGACTCAAGAAATATCGTAAAGACGGTTAATATGAAATACGGCAAAAATTTACCATTGTAGACTTCGTGGTTATTCTATTATATTTGTCGAGAAAGTTATGATCCTATTTGCAATTATCGTGATAGGCTTGTCAAGATTCCATGCCCAATTCAGTCTGAATTACTTATACATCATACTATCCTATAAAGTGATATGTTAGAGATATTATGCAATAGTACGAGATGCCTGTATCGCCATGTGTTATAAGGATAACAATATATAATATATTTACGTTGGGGTGTATGGATGTGTTTCAGCACCGCAGTGTGTGAGAGCATTATGTAGGGGTGTATAGATATGTTCTAGCACTGTCTTACATAAGAGCGGTATGTAGAAATGTTTGGATGTGTTCCACAATGTTGTATGTAAGAGCAGTGGATGTATTCCACTATTGAACTGTGGTCATAGCGCTTGGATGTATTTCAGGATAGTAGAGTCATATGAGCGTATAAGTATCCAAACCAAACACTAGCCAGATAAATATTACCTAGTGAGTGGTTTGTAATCAGTTGGTTTTGATTGAGTCCATACATACATTAAGTCAGTATACAAATCTTGTTGTTTGAAGTTTTAAACAGATTCTTATGCCATTTGCTGGTTGGTTTATTTAAAGTTGAGGAGTCACAACTATTGAGTCTAAATTTGGTCCAGCAAGCCTTGAAAAGGGTTAGGTTGAATACGGGATCGATTTCATATTTTTAGAGCAGACAAATATCATATACCAATAGATAAGATAGTGACTGAGAGCTCCTGAAAGGTAAACAAGTCTTTTTGTAGGATTTCCTATAAAGGAGTTATGACATTTTTTATTAGATTGGGTGAGTGGCATATAAATATTTGCTGCGTATATATTTGCTTTGACTTCGGAATTTTTAGCTATACATCTTGTATTTTATGTGCCCGTGTTTAAGGTGTGTGTTTATGACAAAAGTTATATAATTCAGTCCGAGAAAGTGAAACTAGATGAAAATTTTAAATCATGGAGGTTCCATAGTTACTATTAATAGTGTGAACTTGAGGTCGAAAAATGTTGCTTAAGTAAAGGTGTTGTGGCTCACATTTGATGGATGAAACTACAAGGGAGTTCGAGGTTGATGTGTCGAGTAAATACCCGCAGTAATTCTATACTATAGGTACACTTTCTAACTCGTTCGAGGACGAACGAGAATTTAAGTGGGGAAGAATCTAATAACCTGAAATATTTTTTTATATACTTATTAATTATGGGATTGGAATTAACTTTATTTATAGCTATTGAGTCAGATACTAAGATAGTAAANTTTTCTAAAACCCTTTTTGAAAGTGTATTTTCTCTGTCTGGTCCATGTGTTGGGACAAGCGTGCGCTTGACAGAGTCGGTGGTCTTAGACTAGCCGCAAATATATTATTTTATGAAAAAAATATTATTTTATAAGTTGTTTGATAGTGTGATATGGCTGTGCACCATGAGGTTGAGTCTTATAGTTTGATTCGGTTGTGAGCCATGGTGTTGAGTTTGATACGGTTGTGCGCCATGATATTGAGTTTGATACGGCTGCGCGCCATGGTGTTGAGTTTGATACGGCTGTGCGCCATGATGTTGAGTTTGATACGGCTGTGCGCCATAATGTCGAGTTTGATACGGTTGTGCGCCATGATGTTGGGGCATTGTATATGCCTTTGTACATCACCCGAGCATTGTGTATGCTCTGTTACGTATTTGAGGCATTGTGGTGCCGTTGTGGACTCATAGGTGTGTTGGTAAATTTCTTTCACTACAATTATGATAATTCCTTAGTGGGTATTTTGTTGGTTAATTCTTAATAACTTGTTGATACACATATATTGAGTTATTGTATAATTATCATATTTATTATATCATTCGTGTTATGATGTGTTTGGATTTTCTAACACTTGTTCCAGAGCTATTTAAAGTGGCGGGTCGAGGATCTTACTGGGTTATATTTGCGTATTATGCATTCCTTACCTGCATCTTTATGCAGATACCGTTGCGGGAGATAGAGCTAGTGGCTGACGAGTTTGTTCGAGCTGACCCTATTGCTGAGGTGAGCCACCGCATTGTTCGTGGAGGCTTTCGTTTCAGACTTACCTAGCTCTCGTGTTAGTTATTTCCTTTTTCTTTGGGGTTTGCATGCCCGTCAATAAAACTCATATTACTCTGTTAGATGCTCCATGGTCTTACTGTGGGATTTGGGCTAGATTTATTATTTGACTGATTGTTGATTTTTCTATCAATTGACTAAGGTATTGGGCGATAATCATTTCCTCTTTAATTATTAATAATACTATTAGGTCTGCATCTTTCTCTCTCAATGTTTGCGTAAATGGTTAAACGTTAGAGAAAGGGGTTCTCCTGGCAGGTGGAATTAAAACTGGGCACAACATACCTGAATGCCACTAGTTCCTCCATATATATATCTTCACTCTAGATATTTGTGAACATACAAAGCTTGCACTAAGGCACTTGCTTCGAGCGAACCAAGTAAAGCATAGATCAAGATCCTCATGCTATTGCATATCAAGATAACATGGATTTCAAATACTGAAACCCTTGGGATAAATTTAAGCTACTAGGAGTTATATTTAAGAGCTTGAAAAGATATCCAAATTCCTTCGACATGTTACATAAGGTATAAAAAATACCTACCTTCATTCATAAATCCCCTATTCAATAAATATGCACTTGGGGCATCACCGGTACCCAATGGAGAGCTTGTTGTGAAATGTAGCAAAATCAAGCGAAACTTTAAGCTTTATTTCCAGTCTTAGTTGACAGTTGGCAACGATCTTCTTGATACACAATGATGGAAAAATGTGACGATAAGCTGATCGGAATGTGGTAGCCAATTGTTGAATCATTAAATTGTATGACAAGTCCCCAGAAGAGATGGAGCTTCACTAGGCTTCCTTGAGAGGACAACTATGCCTGATGAACAAGTTCAATCAAGAATAAGCTGTGGTTACTTAACTTGAGATGTTGAAACAATTTATAGAGCTCCTCATCTTTGAGAGCAGAAAATCTCCTCAAGGTCCGCTATGCGCTACGTCTATGACATCCACCTTTCTTCAGGCTTTTTGAATCACTCGTAGTTTAGCACTCCGACTTCGAGGATTTAATGCCTCCTCCTTTTCAGATGGTGTTATGGGTCTCTTTGTAAGGATAGTTCCATTCTGTCCTTGTATCACTTGTTTTATCCATGCTTCTTCTTTAACAGTATCAAGATTAATTTTCCTCAGCTCACGTAAGCACTTCCCTTCTTCATCTTCAATCCCACCTCCATCAACTTCGCTGCAGTTCATAATATTGAGAAATGCCTGTTTTACTATTCTGTCCTCCAAACTGTGGAATGAAATTACGGCAAGCCTTCCACCAGAATTAAGAGACTCAAAACAATCACGGATGGAATCCTCCAGTGTCTTGAGTTCATCATTAACAGCTATTCGTAAAGCCTGAAAAACTCTTGTGGCTGTCTTAATCCAACCTTGTCTTCCTGCTTAAGCAAGGAACCAAAGTATAATCACATTTCCATTGACAAGTATGTGCAGAGGATTATTGAGTATGAAAAAGTGCCTATCACACCAAGCCTCTTTTGTAATGGTTAAGAAATTTATGAAATTTCACAGACAAACTTAAAATATGAATAGAGACAAGGCCACCTGGAAGAGATAACCACCTTTAGTCCTAGAAGTTGAATTCTGAATAAGGTCTACCAGCTCACTGGTAGAATGTAACCCTCCATGTAGACGAGCCTTAACAATTCTGTTTTGAAGAGAGTACCAATTGCTTTCTTCTCCATAGTCTCGCAGAACCCGTCCTAGTTCATCAGCTGGCCAGGAATTCAATATGTCTTCAGCTCTCAGAGTTGCCTGTCACAGTCCTGTGTCAGTTAATCAAGGAAAAATCTACGAACCATTTTTTTCACATCTATGAACTCTTTATAGAAAGTATAGGAACGAGAAATGTCTACAGAATTAGACATCTTGACGTCAGACAAATAGTGATATCAACAATGAAAACTTGAATAGAATGCGATCATGATAAGTGATAACTGATAATTGATGTAAGATTTTATGTGCATCATTGATGACCACCAGTTGACCACTGAACAAAAAAAGTAAGGAAAATAACAAAAGAAAAGAGAAGTCAAACAAAATCTTTAACCCTTCAACAGTGCATAATGTGATTCACCAGCTTAATGCATATGTTCTACACGGTAGTGGTTAGACCGACTATGTTGTATAGGGCAGAGTACTGGCCAGTCAAGAACTCTCATGTGCAGCAGATGAAAATAGCTGAGATGAGGATGTTGAGATGGAAGTGCGGGCATACTAGGTTAGATAGAATTAGGATTGAAGTTATTCGGGACAAGGTGGGAGTCACACCTGTGGAGGAGAAGATACGAGAGGCGAGGCTGAGATGGTTCGGGCACGTTAAAAAGAGAAGCACAGATGCCCCAGTCAGGAGGTGTGAGCGGTTGGTCTTGGGGATAAGAGGAAGGGTAGAGGTAGGCCAAAGAAGTCATAGGGATGTGATCAGGTGGGACATGGCGCAACTTGAGCTGATCGAGGACATGACCCTTGATAGGAGGGTGTGGAAACTGAGGATTAGGGTAGAAGGTTAGTAAGTAGTCGAGTGTTTCTCTTTGTCTTCATTAGTTCATTAGTATTAGTGTCAGTATGGTACCCTTTTTATCCTTAGTTTGCTATCATCACATATCTTGTACAATTATTACTTGCCACCAGTACTCCCTTTGTGGCTATCACTTCATACCTTTTATTGTTGTTACTTGCTATTAGTACTTTTTTCATATTCTTTATTGCTACCTTGGATTTAGTTTTCTAAATATATTGTCTTGCTATTACTTGCTATCAATGCTCCTTCAGTCTTTTCTTAGCCGAGGGTCTATTGAAAACAGTCTCTGCCCTCCTAGGATAGGAGTAAGGCCGCATACATCCTACCCTCACCAGACCCCACTTATGGAATTACACTGAATTGTTGTTGTTGTTGTTGTAATGCATATGTAGATCAAAATTCATTTACTCATTCTTGCAAGTTGCAAGTACGAGAGTACTTTCGCAATCGAAGATGCTACCAGAAATAGCCTTTGCTCACTATCAGAGTTATCCACGTTTAATCTTATGTACAAGAAAAAGGGGAGGGCTTTTACCATGGTCAAACTTATAGTTTTTTAATCCTTACCACAAACTTCTACCACAACAGAATTATTGAATTCACCCTTTTCCATTATTAATTCAATTCCAGAAAACCAGTAATCTCCCATTAATTTCTAAGCTGACAATATTACCATTAAGTACTTCCCAGTTCCCAGCATTCAGTATATCTACCACTTAAAAGATATATGAGCCACTTTTTTATTGAATTGCCTCTTCAAGTTGTCTAAACTCTAAAGACCTAAAACCCACCTTTATGATAATCCCAACAGATTTCCCAAAATAGAAACACATCAAATGATTACTATACCAACTACAAGCAGATGTACTTAACAGTTCCAAAAATACAACCATCGATGATGCTTTAAATATGCCTGTTGCAGAATTTTTCCACCCATTAAACCAGAGGAATACAATCTCAAATTCAGCATAGTTTACCACAGAGTAAACATGAACCTCGTAGAATTTTACTGTCCATTAAACCAGAAGAATGCAAAACAAAATCAACATAGTTTTCCAAAGTGTAAATATAGGCATTTTTAGAACACGAGGTAATGTGCAATGCAGCATAAGATACTAGCATTTTAGAGCTACGCTAATCAGAATGAGTGTCAAAATTCACGCAAAATTTGGAAATTAATTACCTTTGGATTCATTCTCATGTCAAGAGGTCCATTCTTCAGCACACTAAAACCTCTTTCAGCATCATTTACCTGAGTAAAATATAGAAAAATATTCAAGAAATTGATACTATAATCAGAAATCAGCATCCTAATAGTCTCAAAATATTACTCCAACGAATGCTTATTGGATTCAAGACAAGGAATCTGAACTCCTACTCGTACTCAAAGCAAAATGCTTATTGAACTTGTTTAGTTGGCTTAATCAGGCCCCTGTAACTAGTTGTGTTCAATTTTTGGATTGTGTCTGCTCCTTAGTGATAGACTGTTTTTTTGTGTATATGAGCAGGTACTATCTCTCTTTCTTGTAATCTTTTGCTTGCATCTTCTGGATACTTTTTAATGAATTATCCTTACTTCATCAAAAAAAAAAAAATTATTACTTCAACAGATGGTTAACTAGAAGGAATTTCACTCTCTGAACCAACCTTGACAGGAATAGTCAGATTCAAATCAAATGCACCAATTTTAGCCAGGAATGCTAACTTTTAGGGTTCCGAGAATTTAATGTGAATAACTTTCCTGATTTACAGCCAATTCATTCGCAAAGAAGAAAAATGAAACGTCGAGGCACAGGAAGCAGAAAGCTAGGAAATAAAGCTTGCAGACACAAAACTTATCAGGCAAAACACTTTAAGTTCTGCAATGGTATCTAAGATGTGAATCAAGTGCAGACCTGCATAGATGACATACCCAAGTCCATCAAGATCCCATCAACTCCACAGGCCAATAAGTCATCTGACACTTCACCAAGCACAAACTTGACGTCCTTAAAATTTTTCAAAAAGGCATGCACTTTCAAGGCAGAAGCCGTATCATAAGAGTCCTTAGGTTGGATACCCTTCAGCTGAGTTTGAGCCATTTGATGTGCAATGGGATCAACATCAAGCCCAACATATACTTGCATTTCGGAATGAGCCCGAACTATCTGTATATACATGAAATTTAACATAGTTGAATCACTACATCAAAATAAATCACGCAAGTAACCAAATTGCACCTGCTTGTTACATTGTCCAAATTATTTTGTTAACAGAAATGCAAGGTACATTTACATTGAAACAACAAAGTCATTGCAAAGTTGTGTTCCATGAAACAACACGAAAGTAACGAGGTATAAACAAAATGATATGACTCAATTTTACTTATTTACCATACAAGGAAAATATCTAGAAATTTAAAAGATTACAAACTAGAAATTTTCTCGTTTCAAAAAGGACAAAAAATATGGAACGAAGGAAGTACAAGTGTAGAAGCAGGAAAGTACTAACAGCAGAGGAATGGCCGGCGGCACCGAGGGTACAATCAAGGAAAGAGCGGAGAGTGACGGAGGCGAAAACATCCAAAACTTCGCCGAGCAAGACAGGAACATGGGGGGTAGAGTTGTCATTTCCATAGTGCTTCAGGAAGGTCTCCTCATCCAGCTCTTTCTCCGACCGGGTCCTCCGTTTCACTTGTGAAAGTTTGTTCTGGCTAATTACGCTACTATTACTGGTCTTTTCCACCTTTTTTACTTTGTTTTTCCGAGGTTTACTGTGAACTGAAGCTGAAGCGGAAGCGGAAGCGGAAGCGGATAAGCTGTTGCCGGCGTGGATACGGCGGAGGTGGTGGAATTTGAGCGGCGGAGGTACCGGTGGCGGAATGGTGGAAGAGTGAAAGAAAAGGTTTCGGATTAACCTTGCCATTGGTGCTGCTGTAGCGGTATTCCAACTTGTAACATTACACAATTTGTAAACCACTCTTTTTTTTTTTTTTTTTTTTTTTTTTTTTTTTTTTTTTTTTTTTTTTTTTAGGAATGGTCAAATTTACTTTTGTACTACTTAAGTTTAACAATTTGGTCATTGCTACGAAAATATTACTGTGGTTGTCTATTTATTATTCCGATATAGATAAGGAAGATTATCCATTTTAGTTCCTCTACAACTGAATCTACAATCAGTTGATGCAGGTAGGTTCCAAGCAACTCAATGAAATAACTTGTTGTAGTTTCTTACTAAATACGCAGGTTGCGAGCAGTTCATACAGACAGCTCAAGAAAAGTCTCGCAGTTGCTTCCTGAAAAGCCTTTCATCTGCTTCCTAAAAAGCTTCGCAGTTGCTTCCTTTCTTCTATAATAGAGGAGATTTCAGTTCATTATGTATATCAGTTTGAAGTTGAATAATATATCAATCTCTCTCTATACTTGTGTTCAGTTTATTTACTTTATGGTCTTTATTATATAACACGTTATCAGCATGAGACTTTGCCATTTTGAGCACTTACTTTGAATTTATTTTCTATTTCAGTGTTCATCTCTGATGTAAGGCGACGCTCTTACGTTCGTGGTTAGATCTTGTTCATTCCGAACATTATAAGTCAGATTATATCTTTAAGGTGAATAGTGGAGCTTTGAATTAATTTTAAGTTCTTACCAACTAAGGTGTTGAGATGCTGGTAATAACGTCCTTCCCGGTTGAAGATATGGTAGCTTTGCATGACATGATTATCTTGTGTGGTATTATGCTCATAACTGTTTAATTCCAATCAAATTTTGCTTGGCTATATTGTTTGAAAGTGTTCCAACTAAAGTCACGCTCTTAGTTACGATGATTTCATGAGCATCATCGCCTATCATCTTTAAAACTCAAGCACCACTTTAAAAGCATTTTATGCTTATCAAGTAAGGTTTTTAACTTAAATTGAAGTCTTATAACTTAATTCTAAAGGCGAGCAAAGACAATAAGTTTGCTTGCAACTCTGGTAGAGTTTGAAAGTAAAATACGATCACCAGAAAAGGGTAGATATCATATATCTCATTGTAACTAAATTTATTAACCATCAGAAGTGGTATATACCTATGACCACCAGAAATGGCAATTTAGGCTTGCTATGGGTACAATAAAGATAAGTTAGAGAAAATTCTCTATATTATATGCATACATCGATTTGCTCCTGAGGTAGCAAATATCTTAAAAGAGGTTCGAAGCATCACAATTTGATGTGATTATGCACGTTTAGATAAGTATGTTCCATTCCCTGAAGGATGAGAACTTTGAAAAGTATTGATTAATTCCCAGAAGTGAATGTGACAATGTTAATAAAACTTGTAAATATGAACACGCACTTAAGTGTGAAGATATCACAATTCACCTCCAAAAGAAGTAATATGATTGAGAGAATATATACTCAATATTTCATATTTCAAATTTCTCCTGAAGTAGTAAATAATTAAAATTTCCTCCTGAAGCAGGAAAATATTATGTAGTAGTAAAAATATTAAAATCTTAATTTTCGTCACTTATAAATTTAGAATTGTCTTTATATTGTCCATTTGATTATGATTTCCTCTCATGACACTAGAAGTGTCTATTTGGTAGTACAAAATTTATTAAAAGCTCCTAAAGAGCTAATTGTTTGTCTAGAAGACACATGACACAAGTAGTGTCTGAATAATATTTGATTGTGGACAATAAATTGAAGGCTCCCGAAGAGCTTATTTGTCATTATTATGGTCAAACATATGTTAAGATAAACCCGAAGTTCATTAATACAAATGATTATCATATTGAGATTATGAATGATTGAAAGATTGAAAATCTTCTCGTTTCCACAATCATAAGAGGTAAATATATATGTGAGAAGATACCCGTTTTATTCTTCAATTTATACTACATCACGTGTTATAGTAAATCAGAAGTTTTTCTGAGGTAAAAGTAACTACAGTAAATCAGAAATTTACCGATATAAAAGTAGCCACAATAAATCAGAAGTTTATTGATACAAAAGTTTATGCCATAGTAAACCAAAGTTTACTAAAATATAGCACATGTCATGAAACACTTGAAGTTATCATTTTCCATCCGGTTTATATATAATGAGCTAATTGAGAATTCAGATCAGCATATACTGAAGAACTAAAAGATTCTTCAAGAATTCTCTTATGTTGGTTGTTTGTTCTCATAATAAATTGATTATACCAGCTAAAGTTAGGACTTAGACCCCTAAGTTCTGGTATATATAAAATATGAATATAAGCTCATTCACCTATCATGTGAACAACTTATAGATGCATATATGAGATGGTTACATGTGTGTTTATTGTCAACCTGCAGTTTGGCATTTGAAACTGCTTTTCTCAATTTAGAGCAAAATTTTCAGATTATAAAATCAAGACAGTTCATCTTGATAATGTTGGTTTATATCCAAGCTGGTTTAGCATTGAATACCTCCTATTAATATCTAAATCATTGCTTATGAGAACAAATCTTCATGTGTTGGTCTATAATTTTCTGAAATGCATGCAGCAGCACTTGTATGTGTCAGACCAACAAGATATGATAAGTCATCACCTCACAATTGGTTTAGGATCAGAAACCAAATATTTTTACTATCTAATAACTTTTGAAGTGTGGTATATGATTAATTTCTCTACCACAATACATAAAGATAGGTTCCCCAAAGAAGATAGGGGATATATGTTAGTTTTTCTAATATTTAGGGGACGGAATAAACATCTGAAAAATATGTTATACGAATCGAATTATCATCAATGTGATCCTCATTCAGAAGATAATTCAAGTCAAATGTTAGAAGCATTTGTTGATCCAAAATAAAATATCATATTTCAGCTGCAAATGTTCCTATTAAAATTAAAGTCCATGAAGGATAGAGTTTACTGTATGCATGAAGCGTGGTAGACTAATCGGTTCCAAAGGTAACAATCCTTGAAAAGGATAGGAGCAAATGATCAAAATGATCATAATAAGGAGGAAATAAGCTCTAGAAGAGCTCACGACATAACATTTCATGAAACTCCAGAAGAAGTGTGCAGGTACCTGAAAATAAAGAAAGTGATGAGATCTCAACAAGTTATGTCGCTTGCGAACCGATACGAAATGATCATCGACGATATATTTGATACAAGTCATGTCCAGATACATGAAGATGTCATGCCATTTAAATGCAAGTCATAACCTATATGACTCATTTGATTAAATCTCTATAAAGATCCCTGAAGGATTTAAAATACCTGAAGCATATAGTTCAAAGTCTCGAGAAATGTACTCAATTAGATTACAAAGGTCTTTATACGGTTTAAAGGAATCTGGGCGCATGTGGAATAATCGCCTCATCGAATATTTGCTGAAAGAAGGTTATGTAAGTGATGCTATTTGTCCATGTATTTTTATAATAAAAGTATCATCACAATTTGTTATATTTGTTGTCTATGTTGATGACATAAATCTTGTTGGAACTCCAGAAGAGCTCCAAAAGGCAATTGAATATCTTAAGAAAGAATTTGAGATGAAAGATCTTGGAAAGACAAAACTTTATCTTGGTATGCAAATTGAACATTTAGCAGATAAAATCTTTATCCATCAATCTATCTATATAGAAAGAGTTTTAAAATGCTTTTACATGGACAAATCACACCCATTGAGTACACCAATGGTTGTTTGATCACTTGAAGTGAATAAAGATCCGTTACAACCTCCAAAAGAATATGAGGAACTCCTTGGTCCTGAAATATCCTATCTGAGTGCAATTGGTGCACTTATGTATCTTGGTAATGCTACAGGGCCTGACATAACATTTTCTGTTTATTTACTAGCAAGATATAGCTCTTCTCCTACACGGAGACATTGAAACTGGATTAAGCATATAATGTGATATTTAATGGGAACTCTTGATATGAGTTCCCATTAAACAAAGACAAAGGTAGTGCAGATCTTGTTGGTTATGCAGATGCAAGTTACATATTTGATCCCTATAAAGTTGATCCCAAACTGGCTACGTGTTTACATGTGGAGCAAGTAGGGAATGTGTATGGTTGAGATCAGTGATTCACTTCATTCGAGAAAAATGTAGTTTGAAATGTGATAGAAGATCCACAATTTATACGAAGACAATGCTACATGCATAGCCCAATTGAAGGGAGAATTTATAAAAGGAGATAGGACGAAGCACATTTCACCCAAATTATTCTGCACACATAATCTTCAAAAAAATGGTGACGTTGATGTGCAATAAATCCGTTCGACTGAAAATCAGGCAGATTTGTTCACCAAGTCTTTGCCAACTGCAACCTTCAAGAAGATGCTATACAACATTGGAATACGGAGACTTAGGTATTTGAAATAACGTCTTTATTGGAGGAGTAAAGTATGCCCTATACTCTTTTTTCCTTGCCCAGATTTTTTTTCATTGGGTTTTCCTGGTAAAGTTTTTAATGAGGCAGCTTGCAATGTATATTATTAGTGTACTCTTTTTCCTTGACTAGGTCTTTTCCACAGGGTTTTTCCTAGTAAGGTTTTAACGAGACACTTAATAATGAACATCCAAGGGGGAGTGTTATAAAAATATTATTGTGGATGTCCATTTATTACTCTGCTGTAGATAATCTTCCTGAAGAAGATTATCCATTTTAGTATTCCATTGAAGTTTATCTACGAGCAGTTGATGCAGTCAGATTGCAAGCAAGTCAATGAAATGATTTGCAACAGCTTCTTATTAAACATGCAGGTTGCGAGCAGCTCATACAGACAGCTTACAAGCAACTCAAGAAAAGCCTCGTAGCTACTTCATTTCTTCTGTAAATAGAGGAGATTTCAGTTCATTATATACATCAGTTTGAAATTGAATAATATATTAATCTCTCTCTATACTTGTCTTAAGTTTATTTACTTTACAGTCTTTATTTTATAACAATCATACTATTGTTAA